CCATTTGGATTTGGAGACCCTTGAGCTTTCTTCCACCTGAGTGAACTGCAGCATTGGCCCTTTCTTTGATTTTGATTTAACATTGATTTTGGTTCATGCTTACATCCTAGGCTATTCCCAGTGGCAATTCCAAAGCTGACTCACAAGTTCTTCCATCATCCCTGTCATGGGGCCAGCAGCCCCTGGGACAGGGGAAAACAAGTAAGAGCAGGAGCTGTTCCAGCTCTGCCAGCTTAATTGATGGAAAGATGCCAGAAGCTTCAGACAACTTCAATAGCAGGCCTTTGCTGATCTGACTTATTTTGACAGAAATGAGCTGGGGAGCGCACAGGCAAGCTGCTGTACCAGATCAGTGGGAACCCTTAGCAGCGCAGTAGTGATGGATGGCAGCAACCTCTTCCATCGACACGGGGTAAGCCACAGTTCAACCCATTTTGCTCAGAAGTTGTCCAGTTCAAAACAACTTCCGCAATTGATCTTTTATGATCCAAGCTAATTTTGAGTCAAATGAGTCAAAATCCTGGCTCCTCTGAGAAGGTACAAACCTTAATTCTGCTCTACTGAATTGGAATGTGTTATGATGGTATAAAAACCTTTAAGCATGTGGATTTTCTAAGTACTTTTTGAGCTCTGTTCACAGAGCTAAACCAAAAAGTCTTCCTCTGTAAATCTGGCCTGAAGAAACTAGGTGTCCAGCTTGTAATTAATACGGTAGGTACTCTTAAACTCTGATAGAAATTCCAGCTGCAGCTTCTGGATAGTAAAATCCACACAATTAACATATACAAACATGCTTCAGAGACCTGTCTAAAACCACTTTGCAGTGATTTTTACCTCGAGGCACATAAGTAGTCCAATGACTTCAAGTACAGCTTAAAGGTGGGTGAGATTAAGTTTAAGAAGTTTAGTCAACTGTATAAATATGAATGGAACTCAAATAAATACAGCAAACATCAAACCCCTTCATTTTAGTGAGTTACAGGAGGAGTTTTGAATGGAAACTCATACAACAAAAAACTGATGCTGCAGCCAGCATTTTTGTCTGTTTTGAACGTAAAACTACACCAATGTACACAGGAGAGTTATGTTCTGCTTCTACCCCAAATACATGCTACTATATTAAACCACTTCCCTTGGGATCAAATATACTGTGCCAAATTCTACAGTGAAAGCCGGATCCAAAACTCATCGAAGTCTGCAGAAATATTCCAATTGATTTCAGTGGGCTTTGGAATAGGCCCATATTGACATCCATTCAACTTTATTGAACTAAACTTTCCTGTGGAGCTGCAGCAGCCAATATGGCCATAATGACTTCAAAACCAAGCTTTAAGGCCATTGCCAGTCAAATAACATCACAGCAAGTAAATGACAGCAGAATGCAATCATCATTATTTATCTAGATTTAAAAAAAATACATCTTTTCTGAGGTCACTACTGTATTTTCCAGGTGAAGAAAACTTCCAGTTTGCCTTTGATCCCTCATAGATTTTTCAGTCTGAGTCACAAACTACTTATTTATCACAGGCCACTGAAATAAGTCTAAGGTTTCCATGAGGACAATAAACATACCACACTGAAAAGATGCACAAAAATTAATATATTTGGGAGTTGTGGCTATCTGCTAGCAGCCAGCATCAACTACCTAATTTTTTCCTGCCATTAAACTCATATTAAAGTTGCAGTGACATCAATAGGAATTAAACATGAGCTTACCGCTTAGGATTTGGCATTCTCTCTTGTCCCCAAATCAATTATTTGCTGGCTTAATAGACAACCCACCTTTTTACGACAGGTCATCTCACTTGCTTGAAACATTAATTTTCCCACATGTAACGCCAACATTTCAGAGAGACTAGTTTAGGAACAAGGATGTCTGTGTAGATATGACCATAAAAGATAAGGGTCTCTGCGGGTTTATTATGTTCTGGACTGGGATGTTATTGTAAGAAACTAGTTGGGAAAGCCTAAAAGAGAATTTACAGTCAAATCCATGGAAAATGTTCATCTGTTTGAGTAAAGGAGTTTAGTAAACATCGATGGAAACATTACTGAGCATTTCCAAAAGTGTGCTTAAATACATCTAGACTACAGATAGAGAAAGCCACTCACGCCTTTTATAATACCAGAGTAGGAGATATTAACCTGAATTTTAAAAAGGCATAAAGAAGGGAATTTCATATGCTATTTTGCATGACTGAAAACATAGAACACTCAACAAACAAGGTCTCGGGTTCAATAATAATTGTTTCTTCTGCTGACTTGAGCCTTCATTGGATAACATGTTCTTAAAGGAATGATTTAGAAGGACTCCTTGCAGTCCTTATTTCATTAACTTTTCAAGAACCAGATGCAAATCATATTTCAGCCTCTTTAAAAATCTATACTAGTTTGGTGCTTCTGGACAACTCATTCAGTGCCCAAAGGCATATCTCTATAATGGCATACCTAGTAAATGCCTGCTCCCCCACAGGCTGCCTTAGTTCCCTAAATCCTATGCATTTCATTTTACCCAAGAGGGATAATTCTCAGTTGCCTAAACTTAAGTATTCAAATGACACTCAGCATTCTGCAATCCTATCAAGGAAAGAAATCCCTCTTGCTGCACAGTCCCTCTGTTTAATGAACATCCATCAAAAAATATGGGAATTCTTTTAAGTCATTTGTCCCTAAAGCCTTGAATGACTGTGCCTCCTGTCCAGCCTCGCTGTTCTCACTGGGCAGGTGATGGCAATTAGCTTGTTAAAATCCTGAGTCTCTTTATAACCCATGAGAAGAGATAGAGTAAACATCAGCAGAGACTGCTGCAGTGCAAAGAGCACTTACACTACCCTGAGAACTAGCAAAATGAATAAAAGAATCACATTGACTACTAAGTGCCTGCAGTCCAATTCTTCCCTTCAAATACTGATGATTTTGTCCCATCCAGTTGCTTTGAAGCACTCAAGAAATCTGATCTACTGCAATTAAATACCATCAGGATGACTTGAAACCTATGACTCCTACACATTTCTCAGAGCCGATGAAAATAACAACCTAGCCTGTGGTTTCTTCTCTTAAAGATCCTCTCCTTCCCCATTCAGAGATCCAGGCGTCCTCATTTTGCCAGAATCCAGACAAAGGTGGATTTCACAAGTATGCCCTAGGCTGGAGAACTGTTTATAAACCAACCTATGTTCAATCTATTATGCATGCATCCCCCGCTGGAGTATTTGTACTATGACCTCTGCATACCTGCCAAGCGCTGGGATATCAGTTTGAAACCCAAAGCATCTCTCTCCCTCCCCCTTCCCTCTGCCTTACAGCGATCAATGAAGGCATCCGCAGTCGAAGCAGTTGCAGGATCCCCTTTTCACACCTGCCTTGAGCCGGGATTTTCGTTTGCAGCCCAAAGCCCCTGCCCCTTCCCTGCTTTCATGACAGACCGAGCCACCCCGCAGGGCGCTCCGGCCCGGGGCAGCCCCTGCCCACCTACCCGCGCCGCGCAGCTCCCCAGCCCGCAGCCCCTCGGCTCTGCCAACGCTGCCTTGCTGCGCCCAGAAAGGCAAACCCAACCTCTCCCCGCGCCAGGTGCACCTCTTTTTTTTGGGGGGGTGGGAAAAAAAAAATTGGACCCACATTTTAAACAAAAGTGAGCAGCAGCTTCTGGAACGTGCCCGAGAAGACAGCCAGCCG